GCAACCTCACACTGCTGGGCTCAAGCGGGTCTCCTGCCTCAGCCTTCCAGGTAGCTGGGACTACAGGCACGTACCACCACATCAGCTAATTTTTCTGTTTTTTGCAGAGACAGAGTCTCGCTCTTGCTCAGACAGGTCTCGAACTCCTGACCTCAAGCGATCCTCCCGCCTCGGCCTTCCAGAGTGGTAGGATTACAGGCGTACAGGCGTGAGCCACCACACCCCGCCAAAAAAAATTTTTAGATTAAATCAAGCATAGATAAATTTTTAAGTAGAATACAAAATTCATACAATTTCCCGGGGACTACAGAACCATTGATCCCTGTAAGTATTGTGTCCTTCCTCATCTAACACTAGAAGTTTGGTGTAAAAGTTTGAGAAACATAAGTTTATTAAGTATACCACCCTCACGGAAGAAAAGATCCATCAGTATCCTCACAGGATGGATGTAAAAATTAAGCGAGGCTAGGACTACTTTTCTGCTGAAGGTTACTGCCTCTACCTTAGGTAAGGCCTAGTTATGCCTCACCTGGGTTTTTGCAATAGCTACCTAACTGCTTCCTCAGCAGTAGTTTTCCCCCTCTAAATGGCTTTCCAACCTGGGTGAGCTTTTCAGTACATAAATGTGACAATGTCATTTCCCTGTTTAAAAACTTTCAATGACTCCATTTCCCTAGGAGCAAAATCACCTTTTGAGCTTCCTCTCCCAAGGCTCTAGGTCTTAGCCTGGATCAACATTTCTATGGTCCCGGTCTAGAACTCACAACTGCTACCTTGGGTTGGCTAGCTCCCACTCATCCTGGGCCCTTTCTTATCTGGGAAGCTCTCCTTAACTGAAAGCACACAACCCCTCCCCTCACTGTCGCGGCAGTCATGACACTGGCTGGTTCTTGTCTCTGCATGAATTTGTCTGTCTTTCCAACCAGACTGTGTCCTCCATGAAGGCAGGGACTCTGACTCTACACGGAATTGGCCACTGGGGTCCTCAGGACTGGACACATAGGCGTTAGGGATGGAGCACATCTTTTAGGGATAAATACGCATGGAAGGGGTGGAAAAGCTACCTTCAAATGCACATTATTCAGTCTTATAAAGAATGCTCTGCCATTTACTAGCAGCGACACCTTGGATCGGTCACAGCCTCCCTGGGGCCTCAGTTCCTCATCCGTAAAATGGGAATAGTAACAATAATACCACCTGCTTTCTGGGATGGTGGAGGGGATTCAAGGAGATGATGCTATCGTTACTGTTGCGATCAGGCTTAGAGCCTGGGCTCCGCGCTCAGCACCGGCACCGACGAGCGCCCACCGCACCCCAGGACAAAGGGGGCGGCGCGGCCGGGCCCCGTACCTCGGTAGCTGTGGATGCGGCGGCCGGTGCCCGGCGGCAGCGTCGGGTAGGGCTGCGGCTCACCGTCAAAGTTGAGCCACACCGGCAGCACGACGCGCGGGCTACGGTTGCAGAAGATGACCTGGGAGGGCTCGCGCGAGTTTACAGAGCGCAGCACCGGCCGCGGCCGCCCAGCCTCCATCTCCTCCTCGGCGCCCGACTCCTCCGGGTCGGACTCCGGGCCGGACTCCTCGGCGCCCGACTCCTCGTGGCCGTACTCTTCAGGGCCGTACTCTTCAGCGCCGGCCTCGGCCTCTTCTCCGTGCCCCGCCTTCCGGGGCATTACTTCTGGAGCCTAGACTACCCGAGCTTGGTTGCCCCCGCGGGATTCGCGAGCCGGACGTGTGGCGGGGCGGGGCGTGCGTGCGTGCGCGCGCGCTCCCGGGCAGCCCTGCGCACTCTTCTTGGTGGGGGACGGACTACACACTCGCGGAAATGGCCGCCTAGAGACTGTGCGCATGCGCATTAGGAACTTCCAGCCACGTGCCAGAACCGGGGCGGGGCGAACTTGTTACTGTATTTTCACTCTAAATTTGTTTTTTTCCCCTATGAGATTTTGACAGTTTCCTTAGCTTCATTCATTCTTTGAAGACGGTCATGGTTTTTCCCCTACCACCTGCGCTATTACTTATTTAAAGGTTTCCTAACTAATCCAATCTGTCCACTTTGGCTCACAAAATGAAAAATGTACCCCAGTTACTCAGAAAGAGTCCCTGGAGGCAATACGTATTAACGGTTTTTTGTGCTTCCTTTCAAAGGCATTTATGCATATGAAAACAAGTTTAAGAAGAAATTTTATATCACTTCCATCCGTGGAAATTCACTATCATTTGCCATAGATTACAGCGGAACTAGATTCAAATAAAAACAACAGTTACTAAGTTTTATCTATTGTCTGCTAAAGGCTCTGAGCCTGTTCTTTTTTTTTTTGTTTTGTTTTGTTTTTGCTGTTATTGTTTTAGTCTGCAGAAAGCCCATGAGCCTGTTCTTTCTTGATTCAAAAGGGTCAGCCAAGTGTTAGATGTTAAAGAACTTCTGGTACCAAACCAACTTTCTCCTGGACATAATCAGGAATAAAAGAAACTGAAAAGAGTGACTTTTCACACTGCAGTCTGTGTGCCCTCTGAAATGCAATCTCACTACACAGAACTGCTGCATTACCCCACAATCACTGAGTGCCAGCCAGACATGAGGGGAGGCAGCTGGAATCACACCAGCCTTGGCTCTCATTCCAGGTCTTAGCTTCGGATGTGTGATGTTGGGCAAGACAATTTAAATTCTCTAATTCCTCATCTTTGACAAGGGCATTTTTAAAAAAGTACCTACGTCATAAAAGCATGGATTAAGTGGCACAAAAGTATGGATTAAGTGGAATATAAACGTTCAGTGCCTAGCACATAGTAAGTACCCAGAAAATAGTTATTATTATAAACATAAATACACTGTCTCTGCCCTCAGAATGCTCACAGGCTACTGGGCAAGCCTGTAAAACAAGAAAACATGTTATGATTGTAATAGAGCAGGTGGAAGATGACTAGCTGGACCTAAAAAAATAAGGTAAGGTGTCTTAGTACGTCCAGGCTGCTGTAAGAAAATACCTTAGGCTGTGTAACTTATAAACAACAGAAATTTATTGCTCACAGTTACAGAGGCTGGGAAGTCGAAGATCAAGGCAGCAACAGATTTGGTGTCTGGAGAGGGATCACTCTTTGTTTCAAAGATGATGCCTTCTTGTGTCCTCAGAATGTACGAACAAGCTCCTTCAGGCCTTTTATAAGAGCACTAATCCCTCTCATGAAGGCTCTGCTCTCATAACCTAATCACCTCCTGAAGGCCTCACCTCCTTACTATTGCATTGTGGATTAGGTTTTAACATATGAATGGGGTGGGGGACACACAAACAGTCAATAGGATGAGGCTTCCCATAAGGAGTTATAGCCAAAATGGACTTTGAAGAAAAACTGTTTACCCTTCCCAACTTCCACCACACAAACGTCCAGCCTGGATGTCAGATCAGGGATCATGACCAATGGGGGATGGGGCACATCCCACAGTGGACACTGACTCCCCATCCAGCTTCCTTTTCATTTATTCTATACCCACTGCCTCTGAGCCCAGGACCCCTACCACTTACTGAAAACCCACCCGATGGCCCAGGCCGAAGAGGAAGATTCTGCCTGCAGACCAGGACTATCGTCCTAACATTTAAAAGAAAGGGAAGGGAGAAGGGAGCAAAGTCTTCTTGTTTTTGGCTACATTCCTGTACAGCTGTTCTCAACTCAATCTGCAAATGCAGAACTGACCTATATTTATGATTTTGACCCATCTGAGCAACCTACTTTCAGTTTCTTCCATTGCCTAACAAGAAAGCCTAATGCAAACTCTTCTCCACAAACCATATTGGAAAATGGCAGACTCATTAAAATAAGGGAAGGCTTATTTAAGATATGGAAATGAAATAAAAATAAGGAAAGAAAAGCCATCAAATTTTATGTGAGACAACAAAAAAAAATACATGCAGTTGTGTGCTCCTGCCCCCATTTTCTGGAATGTAGTTATATAAATTGAGTAGCTCTAATGCAAAAATCGAAAACATGTAATGCTCCAAAATCTGAAACTTTTTGAACCCGACATGATGCTCAAAGGAAATGCTCATTGGAGCATTCCAGATTTCAAATTTTTTGATTAAGGATGCTCAGCTGGTTAAGTATATAATGCAAATATTCCAAAAATGCAAAACCCAAAAAAATTCTGGTCCCAAGCATTTCAGATAAGGGATACTCAACCTGTATTAACTTTATAATAAAAACCATGTGACTGTCATGAACATGTTCAATAACAATAAACACTAGTTGAATTCTTTTTAAAAATCTTTTTAAAACTGATACGTAACTACACATTTTTTTTTTTTTTGAGACAGCCTGTTGCCCAGGCTGGAGTGGTACTGTGGCACAATCTTAGCTCACTGCAACCTCAAACTCCTGGGTTCAAGCAATCCTTTTACTGTAGCCTCCCAACTAGCTAGGACTACAGGCGCATGGCACCACACTCATAATTTTTAAACTTTTTTTGTGGTGACAGGGATCTTGCTCTGTTGCCCAGCTGGTCTCAAATTCCCAGCCTCAGAGCAATCCTCCTGCCTCAGCCTTCCAAAGTACTAGGATTACAGGTGTGAGCCACCATGCCCAGCCTGTGCTTGGCTTATTTCAATTAACATAATGTCCTCCAGGCCCTTCCATATTGCTACAAAAGATAGGATTTCATTCTTTTTTATGGCTGAATATTATTCCATTATATACATACACCACATTTTCTTTATCCACTCATCCACTTAAAGACTTTTTCATTAATTCCATACCTTGGCTATTGTGAATAGTGTTGCAATACACATGGTATAGATACCTCTTCAATATACTGATTTCCTTTGTTTTGGATATATACCAGTGGGATTGCTGGATATTTTTTTGTTGTTGTTATTCATTTATTTATATTAGCTAGGACTACAGGCATGTGCCACAACACCTAATTATTTTTTGTAGAGACAAAGTCTCTTGCTCAAGCTAGTCTCGAAACCCTGGCCACAAAGTGCTAGGATTACAGGTGTCAGCTGCCATGCCTACTCGGCAGTTTTATTTTTACTGTTTTGAAGAACCTCCATACAATTTTCCATAATGGCTATAGTAACTTACATTCCCACCAACCAATGAAAGAGTTCCCTCTTTTCCCACATCCTCACCAGCATGGTATTTTGTCTTTTTGATAGTAACCATTTTACCTGGGGTGAGATGATACCACATTGTGGGTTTTTTTCTTGTGTGGGGGGATGTTTTGTTGTTGTTGTTTGGAGACGGGGCTCGTTCTGTTGCCTGGGATGGAGTGCGCTGGTGTCATGATAGCTCACTGCAACCTCAGACTTCTTGGCTCCAGCAATCCTCCTGCCTCAGCCTTCCATTGCTGAGACTACAGGTGCTCCACACCATGTGGGGCTAATTTTTCTATTTTTTGTAGACATGGAGGTCTCTTGCTCAGGCTGGTCTCCAACTCCTGACCTCAAGCGATCCTCCCACCTTGGCTGCCCCCACAAAGTGCTAGGATTACAGGCATGAGCCACCACACAAAACCCACATTGTGGTTTTGATTTGCATTTCTCTGATGATTAGTGAGATTGAGCATTTTTTCATATACCTGTTGGCCATTTGTGTGTCTTCTTTTCAGAAATGTCTATTCAGATCATTTGCTCATTTTTTAATCATTTGGTTCTCGCTGATGAGTTGAGTTCCTTATATATTCTGGTTATTAATCTCTTGTTGGATAGTTTGCAAATATTTTCTCCCATTCTGTAGTTTGTCTCTTCATTCTGTTGTTTCATTTGCCATTCTTTTAATGTGTTCAAAGTATCAGTTCAAATCTTTTGTCCATTTCTTTATTAGGTTTTCTTTTTCTGAGACCAGGTGTTGTTCTGCTATGCAGGCTAGAGTGTAGTGGCACAATCGTAGCTGAATGCAGCCTTGAACCCCTGGCCTCAAGCAATCCTCCTGCCTCAGCCTCCCAAAATGCTGGGATTACAGGAGTGAGCCACTGTGCCCAGCCCAGGCCAATTTTTAATGCTTTTCAAACACCTGAGTATACCCATAATGTATAGGTAGCAATGCATTACTTTTACAATGGTAAAACAAAATAAAAATAAAAATAACCTTCACTTGGCGATCCTTTGGTGTTAGTAAAAAAAGAAAAAAAATAAGAAAAAAAAATAACCAAAATCAAAAAACTTGATTTTCACATACAATAAAATTTTGGCCTGATATCTTTAACAAATTGCATTGCTTCTGTGAGTATGTTTCCTGAGGTTTTTCTGCAAATATTGTTTTAGTGTCCTTTGGGTTGTTTGGGAACATGTAGTGAATAATGACTGCACTGTAAGCTCACGAGTACGAACTGTTTTCTCACCATTTCGTCTCAGTGTCTCACACATAGTAGACATATAGTGTATTTAATGCTAATAAACAATTTCTTAGGCAAAATGTTTGTCAAAGCCAAACTGAAGGACTTATCATTTATTAAATTGAAACATTTTACTTTTAAAAAATATATATTAATAAAATCTGCTTCACCTTATAATATACTTTTCCATGTTTTCTCTTAAAAGTAACACAGGGTTTGTCACATTGAATGAGTTTAGATTTGACGATAAAAAAATTTCAATTCAAAAATGTTTTTTGGTGAATATATAGAAATTCTTTATACTATTCTTGTAACTTTTCTATAAGTTTGAAAATTCTTTCACAACAAAATTATTTTTTTTAAATATTATGGTTGAGAGACGCAGATTAAGACACCTCATACCAACCTCATACTTGATAGTCTCAACAAGCCCA